TTTCCCACCCACCACCCCCACCCGAAAAAACCCATTTAGACAGACACAATATATATGTGCACAATAGAAGAGGCGGTGTTAATAATTCTAACGCCGTGAATGAGTAAGCCGACAGCCTTGGTATTCTAGCATCTATCATTTCAAGGCGATTTTTCCGAGAATTTAAGGCAAACCGAACTTTGCAAACCTTATAATTTTTCCTTCCTCTCTCGCTTTTATTTTATTTCAATAAATATCTTAAAGAACGGGTTAGAGACGATCTTTACAAGCATAACGAAAAAAAAACCTTAGGTGAAAGAACGTTCACTGTGTCAGGTCCCTTCGAACTTCCTTGAAAAGTCGGGAAGAGGGAGAGACTCTTCAGAACGTTGTAAATTGATGGAAGTTGATGGAAACCTTCGAAAGGACGAAAAACACAAACGATGTTTTTAATATACGGTTAGATAGTAGCCGGTGGTTGCTGGCTGGTCGCATGACTTTCAGGTTTTAGCGTTTATTTGCACTTAAAGTCTCCTTTACCTGACAATTTTAAGTCATAATTCGTAGGTTACAAGAAAACAAAAATAAACGGGTGTCAGCCTATTAACATTTCAATTATAGGGTGATGACGATCCATCTACCTTCCCCCATTTGAATAACTCCGCAAGCACCAAAAATATCTCTACAAATTCAGTTGCTGCATAATCTCTCATGCGTCAGAGGGTGGAAAGCGAGGGTAACGAAAGTAAAGGTACTCCTTCGGGAAACTCGTAGTTTACTCTTCTAAGGCCGAGAAGGCTGGATACTCATAAGTGTAGAACAGGCATCAGCCGTATTAACAATACGTATCATTGTAAAGACATCGAAAAAAGTTAGACCATGCAACATTATCAAATCTCTATTTGCAGTGTTATAAGTTTAGACAGCAACGTACTGGGTAAATGAGAAGAATTTGTGTCTGATTTCGTTCCAAAGGTATACTTTAACATTAAAAAAGATATGATCATCTCTTAAACCGTCGGTATACATTGTGTATCTAGTGCGTTGTTTAATCCAAAAATAAAAGCTCATCGCACAGGTGGTCCCCCTTGTCAAGAACAGGTTTAAGTTGATCTACATGCAGATGGGAAGGTCTCCTTTTAGATATAAACCGCCTCTGGTTATCCTTATCATTTATTTTTTTGATCCCGAGATCGATTATGTACAAATATTCAGTAGTGTACCTTACTAAACTTGTCCTATCGATTTCAATTTATTTAAAGGATAATATTTTGCCGCGAGGGTAACTTCTCTTACTTTCTAACTAGCCACTGACTTTTCAGTAATTCAGGCGACAATTTTTTTTTCGGTCAATAAACCACTCATTATAATAGCATTATATAACAATGCATAAAAGATGAGACAGCCTTTATTACGAGTGACAAATTCTTCTCGAAAAAGACTGACACTTCCCTTTATGGACGTCGGCACAGTATTGTAAGTCTTCCCTTGTTCTAATTCTCGAGGCGCGAAAGGCGGATGAATTTAAGAAGAATACACGATGAATTTAAGAAGCATACACGATGAATATTAGAAGAATAAACGATGAATTTCTATTTTTTTCCAAAGTCAAAAATGACAATCACCCACAGACTTTCTTCTGCAGTGTAACTAACGCAGGGATACACGCAGGAAAAGCTGTTTTACACTCTTTTAGTTTCCTTCATCGTATTTCGTAATTTATGTGTTATGTGAACTCGACTGAATCATTTTCAAGTCCCGCTTGACTTTTTACCAGTCCAAGTGACGAATTTAACGGGTAGTTTAGAAATTCAATGTGGCCCTTCCGGATGTTCACTTAATGTGTTTTTCGTGCATAATCGAACTATTTCCTTTTCGAAAATAATAGGGCCACTCGCTTTGTCTTCTTCAAGACATGAATTAAATCAATAAAAAGATAAACAACGATGATAGAAAAATTCCAAATTTGGTGGGCTTCTGAGAAACGTTACTA